TCTACCCTTGGTAGTTTTCATATTTGTTAACCTTCCAGAAGTGTCCAAGCAGATGTTTGGAAGAACATACTGTCCATTTTGTTTTAGTTGTCCTCGGCGGGAGGGTTAGTCTGAACTCTATCTGGTCCACCATCACTCTTTTTCTGTATCTCAAGTAGAAATTATGTGGACCTAAAAGTAGAAGGGGAGTATAAGCTTACAGGGATTTAACATCTCTTTATTTTAACTAACCCATGTTATCTTCCACTACTATATTTTAAGTGACTTGAGTACATATTCTGGATGAGAACTCACAATGATTCAAATTAATAGGCAGTGAAATCTTGGTAGCTTAAATGGAAAGGAAAAAAGAAGAAAATCCATGAAAGAAAAAAGGAGAGGGAAAAGGAGGAGAGAGTGAAGGAGGACTTGGGTAGAACAGAGATCAGGAAGGTGGAAAAGAAGGAAAAGGTGAAAACAGGAAAGAACAAAATTAAAGGGAACTCTCTTTAGTGTCACCAAAGTCTTGTAGTCAGTGATTCTCCAGAAACCCACAATTTCTACATCTTTAACAATACAAAAACAATTACTTTCCCATTGTCCTTTCCTTGCCAACCATTCGCTAATTTTTATGATTGGCTGTAGAAAAGGGAATTCATTAACTTAATAAATATGTATTAAGTGCCCACTACATGCTCAGCTCTGCCCTGGGCACTGAACACAGGCACATTAATGAATAAAACATGCCTAAGTCCTTGCCTTCTTTGAGCTTCTGTTCTAGTGGGCTGTAGTAACCAAGGTGTAGTAGCTAAGGTGCTGGATGCTGTCACAAATAGATCACAAGTTCTCTGTGTAGTAACATAGTAAAGGTTTACTGTCTGTTCAGCTTAGAGCACAATGTATGTATTTTTGGTCAGATTTCCACAGTCACGCTTTTTAGTCACATGCTCTAAGTCCATTTGCAAGAACTAGTCACATAGTCCCAGCTAGATTCAAGGACATAGCTGGGAAATGCAGTTCTCAGGAACAAATGTAAAGTCTTGCATGATCAGCAAGCTGACTATATTCCTCACATGGAGATACACAAAAAAATGAATAAATAAATTACTTATGTTAGAAGGGGATACATGCTATAAAAAAACAGGGAAGATATAGTGTGTGTGTCTGCCAAGGAATATTAAAATTTTGAATAGAACGGTGGGAAAGTGAGCAAAGGCTCGAAGGAAGCAAAGGAGTGAGTGCGATGGATATATTACTGGAGGATGGAACACTCAAAAAGGAGGCCTTTATGGCCAACATAGGGCAAGGTGGCGAGACGTGGGTGATGAGGTCAAAGGAGTGAGAGGAGTCAGATTGTATAGGACTTCTGGTTTCACCTCTGAATGAGGGAAGTAGACATCAGAAGGTCATGTGCCAAGGACAGGGAGGATTTGATTTGCATTTTATCAAGACTAGTGTGGCAGCTACATTGAGAATACACTGCATGGGGGCAAAGGGGGGGAGAGTACAGTGGTTTGGACCACAGGGGCAATGATAGAGGTGATGAGAAATGGTAAGATTCTGGATAAATTTTTGAAGGCAAAGGAGGATTTGCAGATGGACTGAAGGTGATGTTTGAGAGAAAGACAGGAGGGAATGTGGCCTGAGCAACTTTAGGCGTGGACTTGCTAATAATGGAGCTGGGGAAGACTGGGGTGGAGCATATTGGTGGTGGGGGGACAGGGGTGGGGGAGGTCAGGAGTTCACTTCTTAACATGCTGAGGTTGAGACGTCTCTGAGACCCAAGTGGCGATGCCACGAGTCTGAAGCCCAGGAGAAGGCTCTGGACTGGAGCTCTAGGTTTGGAGTCCGTCCCCAGGGTAGATGGTATTTAAAGCATGGAGACTGAAAGAGGTGGGGGGAGAACTGTAGTCAAAGAGGAGAGACTCAAGGATTGAATCTTGGGGCTGAAAAGAAGGCGTGGCCAGTGAAGGGGCTGGGGAGGAAAAAATGAGGGGAGGAAGAGTGGGGAATTTATTTGGGAGTGTGCATTCATCAGATCAGAATCAGAATGGACTGCCATTCATGTTGGCCAAGAAGCCTGTTTTCCCCCAGCTTCGTTCCTGTCTGGCTGCCTCCAGCTGCACATGGTTCAGAGTGACCTGAAGAGATGAAGGGCCCTCTGATAAACGTTTGGCCCTTCATTCAACAAATACTTGCTGACCATCAAATACATGTGCCTGGCCCTGGTCCAGGAACTGAGGGAACAGGCCATAGAAGGCCTGTCCCCTATGGAGCTTACACTCTAAAGGGGTTGAGGCAGGTAATCAACAATCAACAGACAAACTAGAACATTTCTCACCCAGGCAAGAGAATAGAGAGTGATGTGCTTTGGTTAAGGAGATCACCGAAGTCCTCTTTGAGGAGGTGATGTCTGAGCTGAGACTTGAGTGCTGAAAAGGTGATAGTCATCGGATCTCGGGGAACAAGGTTCTTGGTGGCAGGGAGCTTGGGGCACAGTGGGGAAAGAGAGGCCAGGGCACTCGACATGATGGGGAAGGGGGGCAGGAGCCACTGCACACAGGAGTGTGAAGGCCATGGTTAGGCATTTGAGTTTTATTCCAAGAGTGATGAGGAGCCTTTGGTGGTGGTAAGCAGAGAACCACGTGACTTCCATTTACATTTCACAAACGCCCCTGGGTTGGTCATATGGAGAATGGACTGTAGGAGGCAGAGTGGAGGCAGGCAGAGGAGTTAGGAGGCTAGAATCTAGGTCAGGCAACTGGTGGTGTCTCCTGCAAGAATGGACCAGGAGAGGATGCCCCCTGGAGTGGATGAATGGGTCAGGCCTTCATGTAAATTGAGTGCTTCTCTGGGTCAGGCCTATTGGAGCAAAGAAACACACCTACTCAAGAAACGTTTGGGAGGTACAGTCCTTTCCCTCCGCTTACTTAATGTTTAATTATTGGAAACTCAGACCCCACACCTAAAGGAGCCCTGTAAACACAAAGCAACCATTAAATAAGTGCATAGGAATGGCTAAGTGCTGAAACAGCTGGAAAAGCAGCAGTTGGATGCCCTGCAAAGAGACGAGTCCTCTTTAGATGGGAGGGGCATTCTATTTTCAAGTGGGCAGCGGCAAGAACAGAGGGTCTGAGAGGCGCTGCGTTCCTTTCGTAGGCCGCGGTCCCGCGTGGCTGCCTGCGCTAGAACATCTAAGAACCTGGCTCCAGGCTCTAGTTTCCCAACTTATGCGGAGCTCAAAGAAGCGGTGACTCAGGGGAGGTCCCTCCCCGGCACGCTGCGTTCTCGCCGGCCGGCCGGGAGTGACTCATTACCTCGCTCCCTCCCTCACGGCTGACTCCGGGCCAATCCCGTAATGAGTCTACACCTCACTCTTCTCATCTGACCCGGGCAATTGCCTGATGGAGTTTTTAGCTGCCCGGGGGGCAGGGATCATGTCAGCAACGGTCCAGATTCCTCGAGAGAGGTTTCTCTCGGGGTCTGCAGGAAGCATCAACCCTTTGAATAGAGCCAAAGCCCCAGGCCCTCCCGGGCATCGAAGGCGGGGTTTAATGCACGTGCATTCTTCTAATTTCAGAGCCATTCGAGAGCATTCTGTGCTGAATACAGTTTCGCAAGCATTGATGCCCTGGAGGATATTCTCTTGGACACCTCTTTGCAAAAACTTGCTTGGATAAAAAAAGGCAATGAGAGCAGGTCCCCAAAGTCTGCAGAGACAAGAGGCACTGGGAAGTGTGGCGGGGGGTACTGATCGACAGGCTCCAGGGGGAAAAGGGGCCACTGCGCGAGGGCGCGGGCAGCTGCTCTGCTGGCCCCGCTAAACCCAAAGCCCGAGGTGAGTATCCGGCAGAGGGCTCGGACAGCTCCCGTGCAAAGAGCCCGCTGGCCGGAGCGAAGCCCGGGCGGTGGTCGTGGGCACCAGGGTCCCTCATCCGGGTTCCCCGGCCGGCGACGCGACGCCCAGTACTTTTCAGTGCACCCCGTGGCCTCTGTGCATCCGCCCACAACCCGAGTGGCGCCCGCAGTTTTCCCCTCGCCCGGGGCCCGGGCTCGCTGCCCCGCTGGGACCCTGCGGATGGACAAGGGCAGCCGCACCCTCCGCCCTGTCCCGGCCCCTCTCTGGGACCCTCCCCCGAGCCCTGGCACGCCTCCGCGCCGGGACTGGAGCCCGCAGCCAGCGTCCCTAATTACCTGCCCCGGGAAGTCACAGTCCGCGCGCAGCCCGGGACTGTAAAAGGGTGGATGCGGCCGAGCCCAAAACCACATTCCTAGGGGAGGGGTTTCCACCTAGAGGGTCGCGGATCACGTTACCGGCCGAGGGGAGAGCGGGAGGGCACTCAAACAAGGGTAAAAGTTGCATTTAGTTTATTACTCTCCTCCCCCTGCCCCCCAAACACGCTTTGACGTAGGTTGACTCGGGGACACCGTGTCCGCCCAGGTCCTGGAGCCCGACGGCCTAGCAGCGCCGTGCCAGGACACAGGCACTTTTCCGCCGGCGAATGCCGGAGTCAGAGCGCCGGCTGGTCTGCAGTGCTGCCGGGCTCCGGAGCCCTGTAGGCTACCCCCAGCAGCCCGGGGGCGGGAAGCCGGCAGCCGGAGCCCGCCGCCGCGCACCGAGGACCTAGAGCAGTAACAGACGCATAAATGCGCATAAATAAATCAATGAGCAGCTCTTTGCCGCCAGCAGCAGGGAAACTTCGGGCTGATTAAATGCAGACGTGGGGTGTCTGCCAGGGCAGGAGGGCGGCAGGGCAAAGGGAACAGGCGTGGAGGCCAGGGGTGGGGGGAAGGGAGGCCAGGGGCAGGAGGAAAGAGAAAAAAACCCAAAGCCACACTTAAAAAATGGGGTGAGTTTTAAATGCAAACATCCCGGAGGAGGGGAGGGGCCGGGCGTCCGGGCGAGCCCGCCACCCCGGGCAACTTTCCGGGCGGGAGGTGCGGCTGAAGGGGCGGTGCCGGCGGCGGGAGGCGGGAGTCGGGGGCCGAGGGGGGGGAGTCACTTTAAAGGCTCTTTCTTACCCATAATGCTTTGTGGGGACGTTGACAAGTGGATCCAAGATGGCGTAGAAAGTAATGACAGGTAAGTCCTGACTTCCCCCTTCTCTGCTGCTGGGACCGCTCCGCGAGCTGCCGGAGCCCTCCGGGGAGGCGACCGGACCCCCTCCCGGTCTTCCGGACGCCGGGACGGGTGGCCCCGGGGCGGGCTGGGGGCCCGCGCGGCTCCGGCGGGGCCTGGGAAGCGGGGCTCTTCGAGGCGAGGCCCGGACGCTGGGGCTGTTTACAGCTTCTTCCCCTCCTCGGTCCCCTTCCCCTCCGCTGGGGGCGGCGGCGCCCTCGGCCCAGGCGGCGGCGGGGGCCGTGCAGGTCCGGGCCGCGGGCCTGCGGGAGCTTTCTCCAGCCGCGGGCACTCCGAGAGGGCGAGCCGAGCCTCCTCGCACGCTCCCGTCCCCCGGGTCGCGGCTGGGGGTGGGGAGCGTGCGGGCCTCCCACGCCCCGCTCGCTCGGCCCCTCAGGGCTCGGCCTTCCACCCGGGTGGCGCGGGGGCCGGAGAGTGGGCGTCGGGAAAAGTGGGTCAGGGGTGCACCCCTCCCTCCCCCGCCGAGGGCTGTTGCCTGAGCTTCACTTTCTTCCCCCCCTTTCTCCGCCCCCTCCTCGGAAATTCTCATTGGCCCATGAGCACATCAACAAAAATAAAAACAGTACTCTTTCCCTTAAGACTCCCGTTTTCGAGGGCTAAGAGGTTGCAGTTTTATCTAGGGAACTTTGATTCCTCTCCCCCCAACTTATTTGAGCTTTCTGCACCCTCCCCTTTGCTGAGGATTGTTCAGACCGGGTTAGAAGCCAGGGTCGTGGGATTCTTCCTGCATTGGGATCCTCAGGTTTTGTTTGAAACTGAATTGTTATTCCATCTCCCTCCCAACTCAGCCTTCTCAGGCAAATCATTAAATACACCACGTATAACCCTAGAGTGGAGAAGAGTGGGGAGTTGTCCCGGCTAGTTTGTTCTTAATTTTGCCCTTTCTTAAACTCATAGTAATGAGATTTCTTTTTCTTTTTTTCAAAGGTCAGTCAGTGCTGAAAGAGATGACTTTATGTTTTGGATTTTAAGAGCGTTTTATTATTATTACTCTAAGAGACAGAGGGGAAATGTTTTTATTTTAAAGTGATAAAAACAGACTCATTTACAAAGGTGAATACTGTACCACTTTGGTAACCTTTTTCCATTTGAAATTTAGATGCCCTTTCACCTCAGGCTGATAAATTGTTTGCTACTGATCATGTCTATTACTGGTGTTGTATACACACATTTTACTTTTCTATTTACCTCAGGAATTGGATGAAGTAATTGATCACTAAAGAACTACAGTGCTGGTGAGATGTGTAAGGTGAGACCGCAGTTAAAAATGATCTACCTTTTTTCCTTCTTTATCTTAACTCATAAAGGTGGAGCTGAAACTAAGTAATTTGATGGGACCATTTTTGTTTTCCAAATATCTCACTCAGTCAAATGGATTTTAGGCAGGGCTAGATTTAGAAAGGAAAAATACACCAAATGTACCAAACTTTTCAGTGGTTCTAACATTCTCAACTGTAGTGGAGTTTATCCGGAGCCAAAGGTTATTTGCAGCTATCCTTGATTAGTATCTTCACAGGGGTAATTATAGTTTGCCTGCTTAAATTTCCTTGTGTAACTTTAATTGGATGTCTTAATTTTATCTGTGTTTTGATGTTCATCACTTACTCTACACTGAGTGTTAGTGACTGTGTGTGTAGATTTTGTGTGTCCACAATTTATGGGACTCTTAAAAGTACACCCTTTCCATTGGAAAGAAGTATTTTAGGCAAGCCAGTCACTCCCCTTATTCTCTGAAAAATGGAATAATACTTGTCTTTCTCATAGTTATTTTGAGTAAGAATGATATCGTTGAGTTTTGTTTAGCTCATCAGGGATTAGACTGGATTTCATTATTTTCTGGTCACATGTGAATTCAGTGTTGCTTTTTCTAGTCTAACTTAAAATACTTTGGATTGAAAGGACCTTATGGAAATAGTGTAGTTCGTGAACAGTAAGTATTCTGTATTGGGAAGAAGGAGAGAAGTTTGCTAATTTTACATTTTTCACAAGTGATTTTCTCAACTTTAAAAATATTTTATTGTGGTCTGTTGAGAGAATGTAAGTTAATTATGGTAGATTGGTTACTGCAGGCTTTATTTACTTATATTTTAACACATCTGGGTAGCCTTTGGATTTTGAAATTTTCCCACAAACTTTCATATCTATAACATCTGTTCAAGAAGAATAAGATATGCTTTATTTTTTTTCCAGATTGAGGCACAGTATTGACATTTTGCCTTAATTAAAAAAAAAAACTTGGGAGAGGAAGGTGGACATAAACCAAGACCCTGTGCAAGTGCAGACATCACGTTTGTGTGTGTTTGACACTCAGCAATCAGTGCTTATGTTTACTACATATATTTTAATTTTTATTCTTGGCAGAGCAAATCTGGATCTTTCAATTTATTTTCAATTTACAGAAGGAGGCAGTCATGGCTTAGACCTCCTAATCTGAACTTCTTAGGTTTTTTAAAAAAATACAGATTACTTTGTAGAAGGGAACCGGTGATCTGCTTTTTGTCCTGTGAAGATGTTCATTTGTAGCCTAAAATTGCATATATAGAAATAAGTGATCTTGTGTGGCTACTGTTGTCTGGCCTAAATTGTGTCAAGAATTTTCCACAATTTTCACACATGTAGACCATGTGAAGTGCTAGTGTTCACTTCAAAGTGAAGTCAGTGGTTGGCCACCAAACAAGTTGTTACACAAAGTATTCTAAAATGGGAAATACCATAGTATGGAAGGTTGTGGTGAAGTAGAAGTCTGTGTCTTTGAGCTGAATAAAGACATAGCTTTTTTAGTCAGTCCTTTTGGCTGGGAAGCTGGACACTATTTTTAGGTAAGGCAGTAGTTTTTGGGAATCAGTAAGTACCTCTCATCAGCTGATAAAACTTGATTTCTGCAATAGTTAGCAAGAAGTTTCATGTTCTAATACTATAAATATTCAATCTACATTGTTTTAAAGTTTGTATACATTTACGGACAGCTCAGTATTTTACTGGAGAGGGGATTGATGCCAGAAAAACAGGAGAAATCACTCCTACTTGCAAAGGGCCTTGTGTAGTTTAAAAATATACAGCATATTCATGAAAGGATAAGAATATTGCAGAGGGACCTACAAATAAGTGGACCAGAACTTAGACATGCCATTTATGTTCTCTGTTTAACAAATAGGTTTGGTATTAATATTAACTGTAAATGAGTCTGTAATTGTCTGTCAGACTAATATTAAGATCCAAATACAGGTCCAGCACAAGAAGTGCATTTGCCTGTTGTTTAAATGCACATAAGATTTTGGGCCAAGTTTATCAATTTGTTGATAAACAAGAGGTGGGGAGGAGCGACTTAAAAATTTTTTTTAAATTGTTGAGGTTGTTTATTTTCATAATGTCCATGCAAATATTATTTGGTATCTAAGTAATATTTTGCAATGTTTTCTAGGAGAAAACTATGATATGTATGGAGAGTGGCCACTCCAGCTTACAGTTTATTTAAATTGATAGGTGTAGTCAGGATTATTTCTGTAGCATTGGCTAGAAGCAGCATAAAACATAGGGGTCTATCACTTCAAGGGTGGCTGGGATAATTAATACTTCTGAGTAAACCTGAATTTAGCAGGGTTAATATTCTTTTTTAAAAATAATATTGCAGATGTAACATGAGAGTTTTACGTAAAGATAATACACACACACACCACACACATATATATAATTTTTTAAGCTATCGTCTAAAACAAAGTGAAAGTTTTTCAACATACTACCAAATAGTCGCACAAGCTTGTTTACTTATGTAAATTGTGCTGGGTCAGTTTCTTCAAGAGCAGGAAATTGTCTGATAAAACCAAAGTTTGTATATTCATCTTGCTTTTGGACAACACAAAAACCCTGATTCAGCATTAGGTTCTTCAAAGAATGCATGGCATATTGTTTGACCAAACCATTCCAAAGTCTGTGATTTTTGTTATTTCTGTGCCATATTTTAGGTGTTCTCAGCACATCTGAATTTGCCTTTTTGCTTTCTTCTGTGGAAATTCTACTTGTAATGGGCATATTCCCGTAAGCCGAGCTTCCTGTCAGTAGGCAATATGTATAACTAGTCAAGTTTTTAAAGAATATTTATTATTGTTATGCCAAAGTGTTGCATGCTACATTAAATAAATTTGAGCAGTACTTGAGTGTATGAACTAAAAAGGATTAAAAAAAAAAGGCCTCTGTCCTCCTTCCTCTAACTTTAGTTGTGTGCTGCTGAGCTGACCATAGCAAATATTGCTGGTGTCATTTGGCTTTTGCAAGACCTCTCTGTTGAGGTATATTGCCAGGAAAGCAGAGGAAGAATTCAGGGAAGACCAGTGTTTAGATGTGATCCAAGGACTATTTCCGCTCATTTCCTGGGATGTTAAGTATTATGTTATGTTGATTATCTTAAACTATATTAACAGTCTAAGATAGCTGTAACTGAATTTAATGAAACACTCAAATAGTTAATTCCATTGTCAGGTTGATAAAGTGTTGATTTGTTGCTCTTTTAAGGAAATAAATATTTGTGAATTGAATTCATATCACCTTAGGGCTGGGGGTAATTGTGGTAGTTACCATCTGTGGAATTTTATGATAAGCAGCACAGTATATTCACTATAGGCTTTTTATAACTCTTTATTATCCCTCCTATAATTCCCGCAACAACTCCAAGATGTTATTATTTCTGTTTTGTAAAGAAGGAAATTTAGGCTAAATGTGAAGTAGCTAACAGAATGTCACAAGATGTAAGTAGTGGCGCTGGGGTTCTGTCCTGGAAAGCCTGTGCTTTGTCCATTTTAAATGTGCTCTGCTACTTCTGTCTGGTTTGATTTTATGGATGAGGAAATTTAGGCCTGGAGAAGTGAAGTGACTTGCCCAAGGCCACACAGCTAAGAAGCAGCAACAACATTAAACCACACTTTTATCTCTGGTCTTGTATTTCAGGACTCTTGGTCCTGGCTGGTTATACTGCATTTTATTGAAATACTATGGACCAAAAACCATACGCTGTGAATACTGGATACAAATGCTTCAGAATGGATATATCAGCAGTAGTGTTTCCTACTATGTATTTAAAAGCTTCCTTCTCTTTTTCAGAAATTATAAAGAGCTCTGATGGGCTATTTGGGTGTTCCCCAGTGCAGTGAACTGCAGGTGAGTAATGTTTTAGGAGAGATTTATTTAGAAAACAAGAACTTGGTAATGGCTGAGACAGAGACAGGAGAGGCTCAATCTAGATGAGAGTGTATGGCCAGAAAGGCTGAGTGGGACAGGGCGGAGCGATACAGCACTGTAGTGAGACTGCTGGGGTTAAGTCTTGACCTGGAACAGACTGGATAACGACGGCCATACTCTGAAGAGCCTGCTTGCCCTTTGTCAGTTTGTTGAAGAGAAGTGAGGGTAGGTTAATCTTCCACTTTTGTTCTGAATGAGTAACTGCATGGGGGCTCAACTTATCTGCCTGTGATTGGAACTTGAGAGGTCCTTCAGTTTTTGTGTCAACATTCTTGAGTGGTAGTTGCCCTGCGCTCTGATGAACTTAGTTAAGCATTTAATTGTTTTTCCTGTTATCTGCTATGTGTATTGTCATGAATGACTGAATATCTGCATTTTTGAGGCTCTAGATGCTGAGGATACATTACCAGAAGCAGGTTAAACTTTTTTTCCTGATGGTTGTGTTCCCTCCATACAGTGAATGTATTAGTCCTTCAAATTATTTATATTTTGCTGGAATGCCCGGCTAAGTAAAGAAAGACACTTTAGTTTTGAGTTTCACAGTAATTAATTTTCTTGGTACCTCATAGTATCTTGGTCTTTCATTATTAAACCTAGCAAACTGTAATACTACAGAAGAACAATTAGAAGACTATGTACACATTGTCTTTGTGGGCATCAGTACTAAAATTATTTTTTGATATATTTTCATTACTAGTCTTTTGTCAGACATCACTAGCTTCAGAAAGCTTCATCTGTTAATAAAGTGACTTGCCATCTTGCTTTTTGGACTCCGGCTGGGTAAGACTTATGAGATGTTGCCAGCTACTTTTTACCCATCTGTTTTATGCTGGAGCTGTTAGCTTTCTGTTCTTTGTAGTTAAAAGTAACTTTTTTCCCCCTTTTACTATGCCTAAATCTCCTGGTCCCTAGTTCTTTGATTTGTCCATGAGTCCATGCTGCTCTTGAGCTGTGATACAGTCTGCCACTGAGTCAGCAAGTTGGCCTTGAGAATTCCAGAGGTTTCAACGTGACAATTACTATAGTATAGTATATAATTGGACTTGGGCTGGGTTACCTGCTTATTGCCAAAGTAATACCTGCTTGTAGGGTTCTTTGTTTCTTGAGTATATACTTGTTGTGCACAGTTCAGCGCCCACAGGTTCATGAGTGTGATTAAAGACCAGTTGAGGTGGTTTGTTGGTCCTTGGAAAGCTGGGGACTGGGGTTGTCATAGGTCTTCACGTTAGGGAGTGCATGGGAGTTCTCAGTGAAGGCCAAAGGGAATGATAGAAGGGATCGGGGGAACCTCTTCTTGTCACTGTCAGCCTTGTATCCTGGAGCCTCTCTGTTTCCTCAGTATTGTGGAACTTTCTCAAATTATGAAATCATTTAAGAATTGCTATTACATTGTTACATATTTGGGTTATTACCCTAAAATAGTTGATTTTCTTTTTGCCATTCTATTAAAAAGATTTGTGTGTGTGTGTATGTGTGTATATATATATATATATATAGTTAAATATATATGTGTATATATATTTAACTCATTTTTAGTTACGTGTATATAATTTTAATTTTTTCTACGTTTTACATCATGAAATGTTTCCATGTTATAGGAGTCATAATTTTAATTTATATGATTATGTTTGAAAGACTACGAAGTATTTCATCAAGTCTTGCTCCCATAATTTACCTAAATGTTTTTATGTTAGGTATTTATGTTGCTGGCTGGTTTTCAGTTAATACTTTGATCTACATTATTGTAGATATTACTTTTTTTTTCTTTTTTGACTAAGTATATCCCTAGGAGAAATTTCTGAGTGCATTATTGTGTTGAATGGAATGATTGTTTTTATGGCTTTTGAGGATATATTGCCATATTGTTTTTTGAGAGTGTTAAACAGCAGTTTGTACTACTAACAGATACAGGGGTGTACCTGCTTCACTGTAGCTGGAAAGAAATACATTTCTTCCTTAAAAGTTTTTGCTCATTCAGTAGTGTAAAGTAGCATTTCTTTGTTCTATAGTGTTGGCTTTTACTCTTTGAGTCTTTCATGGTATGTTGTTTGTTCATATCCTCTTTCATTTTTTGCAGTAAACAATTGATGTAGGCTTTGTATGGGAAGGCAAATATAACCAGCTGGTAAACAGGTGATTATTAAAAAGATAACTAGAACATGTTCAGTGAAAATGCTCACATAGAGTCTGGTCTATCTAGATGGTTAAGTGATCTTAGGCATAGTGGTTGAAGGGGAATAGGTGCGTTATTCCAAGATCAGTTCAGCAAATATTTATTAGGCATCTACCCTGTACCATGTGCTGTGCTGCATCCTCTGAGTGCTTCTTAAGTTAACATCATGGTGTCTACGTGGTTGAAGGAGGAGGGGTGCTTGAGAATCCTTGAGGCTTGACCAACTGGGGACTCTGGCTGGTGCAGTCCTTTTGGAGCTACTTGGAGGGCTGAGGGGATGGCGGTCTAGTGCATCTTTAACTCATGCAACGCATAGTACTGTACTTGGGCACACTCTTTGAGACATTCTGTTCAGAGGCATACAAAGATGAATAAAACATCATTCCTACTGATAACAAATCATCAAGCGAGGAAAATGGCTACAAGGAATTTGGAAGGTGCTGTAAAAGGGGTTGTTAGTTAAGCTTTGGGGTAAATGGAGGGAGTGATGCTGCCCCCTTGGGGTTATCAAGGAAGACTTCTAATGAAGAGGTGGCATTTAAATTGCATGACCGGCAAGATGAGAAGTGATGGAAAGAGAGCATTTTGGAGGGAAGGACAGCTTGAGCAAAAGCAGAGGGGTGGCATGGGAAATGAGTGGGTGTCAGGAAACTGCATATCGAAATTACCTGGATTCTGGGATACATAAGGGAACATAGCCGAAGGGGAGGCTGCCAACGGGTCAGGACTGGGTTTTTGGAGTGTGTTAAATGTCAGACTAATGAAAAGTATGGTGAATTGGCAATGAGGAGAAACTAGGGACGGGGACTTTGGTGGGTTCATGGTAATAGGTCATGTGAGGGATGGTGAAGGCCTGAACTGAATTGGCACCCTTGGGAATGGAAAGGATGCGATAGATACAGGAGATATGTTGGAAGTTAAACAGAGAAATGGGGATTGATTAGGTAGGAGTGAAGAGAACAGTCAGGTCTATGTCTCAAGTCAGAGATGATGTTGAGGTTCTTATGGTTGGGTGGCTGATAAAATGGAGCATCAGGAATAGGGAAGTGAGGAGGAAAAAAAGGTCTTAGGGGTTTAGATTAGAGAAAAGATGAATTTGATTTTATGTGTTGAGTTTAAGGAGCGAGTAGAAAGCTGAAATCGGACTTTTGATTCTAGAAGGAATAGATGAGGAAGTTTGGGGCCCAGAGGAGTTAGAGGAATCAACGAGGTCTCACTATGAGTTGGCAGAGCTGAGACAAAAGCTTCCTGATTCCCACCCAGTCCAGTACTCTCTTCCCTGCCTCCAACTGAGACGTGCTGGAGGTTCTTAACGGTTTTTCTCACACCCAGGTGTGCTCGATAGAAAGTTGAATGTAGGTGAGTTTATGTTGGGGAGTGAGGATTTTATTTTTTAATAAATTTTTTTTTATTGTGGAAACTTTCAGACATACAGAAGTGGAAAGAAGAGTATGATAAATTATACTGTACCCACTGTCCAACTTCAACAGTTATTAATGTTTCACTTGTTTCTTCTCTCCCCATCAATTCTATTGAAGCAAATAGGGAAAAGTGTTTTGGTGACCTTAAACTTTGTGTATTTGCACGTAGGAAGAGCTGAACAGTTTAGGAGGGTATGTTCTGAGCTTTCTGGGTGGGGTCTGGAGTGAAGAGAAATAGGATTAACTTCCAGAATTTCTGTGTTGCCTTTGACTATGTTTTTGGGGAAGTCACTTATGTCTTCTGAGTCTTAGTTTGTCTGTAAGGTGGAGATACTAATATCAGCTTCACAGAATCACTTGAGACAAGGTGTGTGAAGACCCTCGATGAACTCTAAACTTGGAAGCTAGAGTATTATGCAGAGTGGAGTTGTCTGTAATAACAAAAGGGTAGTGGCTGTTTGGAATTCTGGCATCAAGTTTGTATTATTCAATAAATTTTTATTTTATTTTCCAACAAATACTTGTTATGTCAGGCACTTGGGACTTCCAACGGTGAACAAAACATACAGAATTGCAGCACTCACGGAGTTCATATTCTAGATCTGAGCGGGCCCAGCACTGTTCTAAGTGCTTTCATATTTTCACCTGTTTAATTCTTGGTACAATCCTGTGAGGTAGCTGCTGTTTTTATTCCCATTTTGCAGATTTGGAGAACAACGCAGGTTGAGGTCACAGTGCCAGGATTCAGATTTAGGTAGAGCTGGCTTTAAGCCTGTATACTCTTAACCCTGGAACATCTTTAACTCCATTTATGGCGTACTAGTGTTTGACATAAATAAAGAAGTTAGGCCTGAGTTGACATTATTCCTGAACAACTAAATGTTCTCTTCTTGTAAAAAACAAGAACAAATGAAAAAAATGGCAGTAGTTTTCCGTGGATTGACACATAGTAGTATTCTTTCATAGAACAGTGTCTCCTCCCGACTTTTTTTTTTTTGAGAGGGCATCTCTCATTTATTGATCAAATGGTTGTTAACAACAATAAAATTCTGTATAGGGGAGTCAATGCTCAATGCACAATCATTAATCCACCCCCAGCCTAATTCTCGTCAGTCTCCAATCTTCTGAAGCATAACGAACAAGTTCTTACATGGTGAACGAATTCTTACAGAGTGAATAAATTCTTACATGGTGAACAGTACAAGGGCAGTCATCACAGAAACTTTCGGTTTTGATCATGCAATATGACCTATAAACCATCAGGTCAAATATGAATATTCATTTGATTTTTGTACTTGATTTATATGTTGATCCCACATTTCTCC